ACCTGAGCCCAAAAGGTGCCCAATTTTGTCCCCCTCAGAGAGGAGAGCAGCTGTTGGCATGGGGAGTGGAAGATGGAGGGATCAGAGACCCTGAGCACAAAATGTGCCCAATTTTGTCCCTCTGGGAGGGAAGAGCAGCCACTGGGATGAGAAGTGGGATGCAGAGGAATCAGGGTGAGACTCTGAGCTCCAAATGTGCCCAACACACCTTGTCCCCCTGGGAGAAGGACCCAGAGGAATCAGAAAAACCTGAACCCAAAAGGTGCCCAACTTGGTCCCCCTGGGAGGGGAGAGCAGTCATTGGGATGGGGAGTGGGACACAGAGGAATCAGGGTGAGACCCTGAGCCCAGAAGGTGCCCAACACCCCGAGCCCTCCCCAGGAGGGACATCCCAGTCCCCCCAGGTGCCCTGTGCAGCTGTTGCCCCATACCTCGTGTGCTGCCATGACACAGCAGTGCTGCACGGCGCTGTCCACAGGATCCTGCAGCATGAAGGCTGCAGCCAGGGCAGGGTCTGGGGGGATGTCCACTGTCACCTCAGCCCCACGGTCCGAGAAGGCACAGGGGCGGCCGAAATCCCTGCGCTGCCGTGTGTACTCGTACCTCAGCTCCATGGTGGGGGCAGTGGGGTTTGCAGAGACCCAGAAGGGAGTGGGAGCTCAGGAAGGACCCCACAAAGGGTCTCAGGAGGGAGGGAGGGTCCTGAAAGGGAGTGGAGGCTTTAGGGAGCCCCCAAAAGAAGAGAGAGACCACAGAGAGGACCCCAAAAGGGAGTGGAGAGTTCAAGGGGGGAAGGAGGACCTTACAAGGGAGCAGAGGTCTGACAACCCCAAAAAGGGATGGAGGGCTTGGGAGGGGCCTGGAAGGGAGTGAGGGCTGTGGGGAAGGTGAGCCCTTAGAGAGAGTGGCAGCTCAAAGAGAACCCTGAAAGGGAGAAAGGGGCTTGGGGAGCCCCAAAAGGGAGTGAAGGGTTCAGAGAGGACCACAAAAGGGAGCAGAGAACCCCCAAAAGGAGGAAGGACATCAGGGATGAAGGATCCCAAAAGGGACTAGAGAACCTCAGGAACCCTAAGGAGAAACAAGCCTGAAGAGGACTGGCGACCTCAAGAAACGTCCCCAAACCATCGGCACCACCCTCAGGGAACCCCAAACCAGAGCCACACCTCAGTCAGAGAGCAACAAACCACCCCCAGCACCGAAAAAACCCTCAGAGGAACCCCAGGATGCCAATCCTATCCCCCTGGACCACAGCGGGGGACGCGTCGCCGTCGGTAGGCAACAAAAATCACGTGACACCGACGCCAAATTTTTTGCCCTCCCCAAAATGGCGGCGCTCATCACGTGATGTCCACCATATTGGGAAGGTCAACACCAAACCTT